TTATTACGTACTATGTAGCGGGCCTTTTGCATTGTCAGTGATCCAAACCATAAATTGAAGGCGCTCCTTCCACCAGACTATGACAACTCACGCTATAACCTNCTTCTAATTAAATCTTTTCTTATGGTTTAGAATAAACTATTCTCGAAACTGAGAATGTTTTGATCAAAGCTGTGTAAATCGAGCTGAAACTGTGCATGGAGCCTTGCGTTTCTTGTATTTATCTCACCTATTGTATGGAATATGTGTGAAAATCTTCATTATGAATCGGTATATTTCAAAGAGCTACACAACGAGAAGAATACTATTGACTGACAATATACAGAACGGGGGCAGCTGTAGTGTCAACTATTACCAGTTATTCTGTAACACAGCCGTACTTTGTGTCGTCACGCAACGCTCCTCCTACAAACAGGCTGTAACAGGCTAACAATTCGAAGCGGCGCGAACATAGACGCTCTTACAAAATGAGATCCACTTCATTTCCACACCCGTTTATGAATATAATAAAAACGCAAGCGCTGACTTGTGCACGTCCATGCTTCTCTTGCACTGAAGTAGCGGTACTTGACATGAGTAAGGCCTTCGATAGTACTATCAGCGACTTCGACAGACTTGCTCCTATCCTTGGTTCGAAGACCGCAAAATATGGCCGCCAACAATTTCTTGAAAAGGGAAAACTGTTTCCTCCTTAGCAGCCATGGAGAACAAAAAAGATCAAGGGGACTTGCGCATTTCTTATAATGATGAAGGAAGGAAGGTATTTCCTAACTCAGTTAAAGCGAGCGGGAGTTCCGAAACAAGATCTAGCACTGTTCTGATCTACGTATCGTGCGTGAGATCTGTTATTGATTATGCAGCACCTGTCTTTTTAAACGGTCTCCCCCGGTACTTAAAGAAAGAGCTGGTACGGCTCGAGAAAAGAGCGATATCAATAATAACCTCAGGAAAGTGCAACTCGGCAATAGAGGTGGGGTTAACACCCATTTTGGAGGATTATTACGTACTATGTAGCGGGCCTTTTGCATTGTCAGTGATCCAAACCATAAATTGAAGGCGCTCCTTCCACCAGACTATGACAACTCACGCTATAACCTAAGACGACAGCGCCTTTTAATATGCCAAAGCTTTGCAAGAACAGAACAAGTAATACTTTTATATATGCGATGTCGAAACAGTCCGGGCTGTAGTTTTATCCCACTTATATTCATGCTTTATATTTTAACATATTTCAATATGAATATGTTATATAGAATTTTTAATATTATCTTTAAAATTAGTTTTTGACCAATTATCTAGGATTCATTTGTAATTTTCAAGTATTGTAAGGTTTTTGTAAATAATTGCATAATTCAGCCTTTGGCTGCGATGCAGTTTTAATAAACTAACTATCTATCTATCTATATCTATCTCGAATTTAATTTCATCCACTCTGCTTTTGTTGCGCTCTGTATATAGGACAAGTCTAGATAGTACAATTTAATGTAGCTTTTAGGTATACGCAAAATTCAATCCTTAGTTGTTAGCAGGGATGCATTTAACAACAATAAAAATTTAAGTGAGTATGGATCTCAGAGATTTGGATTGAACAGCAAGAAATGTTTACTGGGAAATGGAAATACAATAGCAGAGGTGTTCTGCCTAAAATTTTCCATGCGGATCCACTTTATGACAAGTCTGACTAGTCTATTAGTAGCCTATACTTTAAAACATAATTAATTTCTTTGTCTTTCGTAAGTCTTGCAATTATATCTTCTGAACACTCGGAGGGAAAAATCAAAAGCACATAGAACATATCACTGTAACCATATTAAAAGTGAGACAATATATTCGCCAACCTTGTTCTGTCGCACTTTGTAATAATGGTCGCACTTTGTAATAAAATTGTCGCGCTCTGTAATAACACTTGTCGCACTTTGTAATAAACTTGAAATGTATGGTCGGAGGACAAGTAAACCCAATAATAAGTAATATATAGATTTAGCCAGGGCTAAAAGCATACCTCTAGTTAATAAATTTATAATTTAAATCAAACAATAACCTTGTAATCCACAAATCGGTTAACTGGGGTGACTTAAGAGAAAAAAAACATTGCAAACAGTGCAAGAATGAAGCAACATCTAAAATCTTACATCGAGTTAATAGTCTTATTTGTACCCCTAACAAATAGAAATCACCTTTGGCCACAGTAGATTAGGCGTGGAAAACAAATTCTTCCCAAGCAAAATCACCTTTGTGCCCACCCAAAACCACCCTTATTTTAAAATTGTATGCTATAAAGGCCGTAAAGACACGATAGTCCCCGGTGGCAGCCAATTTATTGGTGTTATCTCTCTGTGTAAAGGAAAGGCCAAAATAAAAAATCAGGCCGGATTTTTTGTGTGTGTGGCTCGGTACACGTCTGGTTCGCTACATCTGGTAGCGCGTAAAGCAGCCTTTTTACACCATCTCTGGGGTAAACAGAACTATTAGGCGTTGTTTGTTTTCAGACCTCGGACAGAAATTATGTCATTTTTTCCCCTATTTTAATTACAGAATAATCTTACAAGACAAATTGCACTCATTCAATCTTCAGCACAATCGAAGCACGCGCCTAACAAATTATAAAAATAACAACATCATAAAACGTTTTTATGTAGAGAATTCACCATTAGACGGGACTGTTCAGTCAGGTCAATCTGCCTCAGGGGTAGATGCGGAACCATTTCAATCGTGATATTCATGATTCGTGTTGTTTTTACCTCAGTGATTCACGATTCCTACAAGAATTTTCCCCCAGATTCATGATGCACGAAGTGATCACCTAGATGATTTTCTCAGTGGCAACTTCATTAGTCTCGTTATGTATACAGGGTGTCCCAAAAGCTCGTTCCTCTACTTCAAAAGTTTGTAATGCAGTACCATTGGACTTGGTAAGTAAATCGTGGAAACAAGTTGTGTCTTTCAATCTGATTCACTATTTTATACTTGTTATGCCATCTTTTGACTCGAATATTCGATTTTTGTACTTCCGCGCCAAAGGTGCGTGGGCGCGAGTATATTTTCCCGCCACATATTTTATGCATTTTATAGCCGGAATTGCTCGAACTCCTTCACTGATTTTTGTGAATATCACAAAGGATAAACCCCATTAAGGCAAAAACGTTTAGCTACGTGAATTCCCAAAACCTTTTTTCAGCTGCCTATAGTCTAAAAAGTATTGTTTTGGGGTTGAAGTGGCTCCTGCATACCAGGTGATAAAAGGATCAAAATGGATCATCTGTTTACACGCTGTATCCCACTGCATGCCGCAACGACTACAGAATTTGATTTAAAAAAATACCGGAGAAGGCTTGCCACTTACTAAACTTTTGAAGACATGTACTCGATAGAGCAATAAACATCTTCTAGAAATTTCATGTAAAAATAAAGTTTTGATCAAAAGTTATATGGCATGAAATTAGAGGAACGAACTTTTAGGACACCCTGTAGTTTCTTTGTTGTTCAGACTTCTGCTTCATCCAGACTCGGTATAATCATCCGTTTTGTCTAGATCCGGAGTTGCTTTTGTAACTGACCATTAAGTACCAGGTTACTGGATAAACAAGCGGACTGTCAGCCCCGAATGGACGAAGTATATTGGGGGTCCGGGGCACGATCCCCCCGAAAATGTTTGAAAATTGGACTCTCGGAAACGCCATATTCTGCATTCCCTGCAGGGATCTATCATTAATTCATACGGGAATTTTGTTGAGCTTTTCTCAGCGTCTCGTTATTCACCATTTCCGAGCCGAATTACAAAGGTTCATGATTCCCAAGTTTTTAAAACAAAGATTCATGATTCTTACATGTTTCGTAACGAATCTGCCATTATGAAGTACGCAAGAGTAATAAGGGGCTTTGAGCAATAATGTTCGAAAAAATTATATATTTTAATTAAATTTAGAAAATCACCCATCCTACCAGCCAATTCTAAATTTTGCCAAGCGCCAAAACTTACAATGCGAGCTGTCGAGTATTTGAATGAACCCTGGTAATGAGGACGAGGTCTCAGAATCATTTTCGTTTGCATTTTACTTCTAAAACACCCTATTCATTTGATACACGCGGCATTTTAAGTACTCCTTCATGCAATGTTAAAATCAATATGATGCTATAGCCTCTTCCATGCTCCAAGATAGTAGTGCACTCGTGCGCTTGACTTGTTTTATTTTCGCGACGTTAGGGCCTGTCACAGACTAATATGATACGTGAAGACATTTTGCACGACGCGATTTTACTACAAACACTACTTTCACTTTTTAGTCGGCAAAGATAACGATGCCCGTGATATGTTTACAAATAGGCCTGGGCTGCAATCATTTAACTGCCGAGTGGAAGCGGGATTAAGCTTTTCAGTGCTTGAATGTAAAAGGAATAAGGCTAAGATTTCCGAACAGCTTCATACACTTTGGTCACTTTGATATAGATACATCGCTAACGATTGTTGGGCTTGTCTATGTGTTCGTAATTGACTCTCTCGATTGAAAGAGTTACAAGTTCTGTCAATTCTGAATCATCGAGCTGAGCGATGGCAATATTTGCTTGAATTTCGCTGTGCAAACTGCTTTAGAACAGACCCTAGCTTTTATATATTTTTATAAAAGACAATCACTTACCTTAAGTGAGAATAACAGCAAAATAAAGCGAGTGCAAGAACTTCTCTGACCACGATCTCTCAACGGACACCACTTCTGCCTTGTTGACAGGAACTATGGTTCGTCGTCACGGGAGGATTAAAACGTCTTCCCATGATGCTTAGCGTAAAAACTTTGCTTCGGTCCATTTCGTAAATATTTGTGAATAATCAGGCTTTTTACTTTTCGTAGTAGAAGAGACTTTCACTTCCATGTGTTAAGAGAAGGCGGAGAATAGATGACAATTCTGAACATGGATTTTTTCTGAAACTCTTTGCGAAAGCCTTATATGAAGCTTTTTTGTTAGTTAAACAAGAGCAGCAACTCGGAGCTCACACTGGCAAA